ATTCGCAGACCTCTATCCTCTTATCCTTGTTCAATTCTACGTTCAACATCGAATAAGGTACACGATTTATAAACTTCAAGTATTTTGGTCATTAGTTTTGTTGTTGTTTTCGTTATTTTCTGTTTGGTTGTCGATTAGTCATAACATACATAAGATAATAATATATAAAATGTAAATAAATATGTATATAAAATCTAGTGTTATATATGTATATATATAACAATTTGTATAGAGGAGCGTTCAAATAAAAACTTGTCCCATTTGTGTAAACCGTGTAAACCAATCTCATCCATCCATTTTCTTGATCAATGACCAAGATTAGTTTACTTTATTTTAGAAAATTAAAAAAAATATTAAAAATTTATTTTATTTCAACAATAAGGGCACAAATGGTAAACAAATTTTAAATTTGGTAACATCCTTCTCGATATTAATGACAATATTTTCATTTTTTAAATCAATATATTATTTTTAACTTTAAATCACATCCATCAATAAAACGTATTAAAAAAAATGAATATAACACACCATATTCAATTATATGGAGTGAATCGTTTTAAATTTTGAATTACATTATATGAACGAAATTGGTTTCAAAATTTAATCAACAGACTAATCCACGTAATACTGATCATATTTCGTAATTTTCATTATACTGGTAGATGGATTCGTTACACTTAGATAACGAAATTTTTTCATCAATTACTGACTTCATAAAAGTTTATAATACAACATGAAATTGTTTCACTTAAACCATTTCACTTATCAGGCTCAATACTGCCATGAACCAGTTTCACTTTCCTGAAAACTATTTCATATACAATAATTTTCTTATTTCACCACATATTTGATGAAATCATTCATTTAGTCCTTACAATCTTGAAGATTCTGGAGCAGGTTACAATCTTCAAGATTATGTAGCAGATTAAAATCATTTCCCCGTTTCATCATCCACTTCGTTTATGACGAGCGAAATACAAAATGGCTCAACTACACCATCAATGCAACAGGTTCACCATAAAAATGTTTCGGTTCACATAATTTATTTGCAACAAGACCCGGTTTCACGTTCATGAAACCTGTTTCATTTTTCTTTTCATAATTTATTTTCAAATTGCACCGGTTTCATTTTCCTTTTCATCAACAAAATGGATCAACTACACCATCAATGCAACGGTTTCACCATAAAAATGTTTTGGTTCACCTAATTTATTTGCAACATGAACCGGTTTTACGTTCATGAAACCTGTTTCATTTTCCTTTTCATAATTTTTTTTCAAAATGCACCGGTTTCATTTTGCTTCTCATAAAAAAAAAGGATTAACTACACCATCAATGCAACGGGTTCACCATAAAAATGTTTCGGTTCACTTAATTTCTTTGCAACATGACAGTTTCACGTTCATGGAACCTGTTTCATTTTGTGGATTTTTTTTGTTCATCTATGTTTTGATGATTTTATTCTATAATTCAATTGTTTCATCAAGACACGTTTCTTGATAATAACTCATGACAATATATGAAATTCAAATTTTTAATATTTTAATATAATTAAATATTTAAATGTTATCATTTATACAATTTCCTTTTTTATGTTTCCTTAATTAAGATTTATTAATAACTTCCATATTTAATATAGAATACTGTAAATGACCGGAATACCCTTATTAATTAAATTTAATTAGAAAAAAAAAGAAATTTTCCTATTGATCGAAATTGATTTACACGGTTTCTTAAAAATGCACGGTTTTCATTTGAACGTGCCCCAATTTGTGTGTGTATATATATATATATATATATATTGATTCAAACGAGAACACTCTTTTACTATAGACAATCATATGTAATACTATTATTCCATCACGTATGATACACATGTGATACTAAATCAGAGACGCAGACGGTATGCAATCTTGGTTGTGGGCCAAGCCGCCCTTACACTACTAAGCCCCCTCACAAATATTATCACATGCGATAATATGGTTATTGATATGATATTATAATTCATCATGTGATACTAAATCATAAATGCAGACAATCTTTAGCACGACCTAAGTCGTAAAATACGTCCTCCAAACATTATATGATCCCCTCACATATATTATCATATGTGATAAGAATGTTTTTACGTTCTGATAAAATGAATGACTCTATTTATATGTGTGTGTAGAATTAAGTTGATGACTTAACCAGCGATTAACACCCCCCCCCTAATGGAAAACAAATAGGTGTTGATCCTTGACTCTTTTGAAAGGACACGTGGCCAATCCAAACGATACACGTATAAACCTTCTAGTCTAAGATTCCTGCGCTTTTGTCGGGGATTCATATTACACGTGTCTCCATTTCAAGGCACTGCCGATTTTCCACCTTCTGCTTTGCCGGAAGCCACCACTCTCCTTCTAAAATATTTAATTTTTCCATTTTTATGATATTTTTTGGACATATTTACCCATTATGATATTTTCATTTGTTTGGCTGCCTTATCACATTTTAATTTAATTTATAATGAAAAAAACGATGTTTATTGTATATTCTTTTTGGATATGATATAAATGCATGCTTTTTACCTACCACAATCTGATGACTTTTATTGAGTGGTATATTTTTAGGTGGATTATTGCATAGTTTTTAGCATAATTCCATTATTTTTAAAGATTTTTTTAAAAAAATTCTGATTATTTTGAGGGTTTTTTCAGAGTATATTTTTCAAAATTTAACGGAGGCATTTTTTATACATAACAAAAATTATACATATGAAAATAGTTGAACAGATATACGAGATTTCACTCGAAGTTTAATACGTTCTGATGACAACAACCAGATTTTTTAATTGTTTATTAGTATAAAACCTATTTTTAAGTTATTATCATTTTTCTCCAAGTCAAAAAATATTATCACAATGGTGGTGCCTGATTGGTTTGAAGTTGACTCCAAAGGTCAAAAGTATCAAGAAGTTTCAGGTTCAAATCCAAGGAAAAATAAAAATTCTCTTGTGGTCACAGAGATTTAAATGCGATGACTCCAGACTATTTACAAAACAGGTAGTCGCTCTTAAATTAATCGGCTCGCATAACGGATTGAATATCCAAGTTAATAAAAAAAATCAAAAAATATTATCACCGTAGAAAATTGATTTGACATAGAATTCAATTCAAATGCTATCACATCATCTTCAAGTTTCTTCTTTTTTCGGTTACAAAATTAACATTAAAATATTTCATACGTTGAATTTATTTTTCTTGAAATATTTAATTTAAGAATATACTAATAAAATATAATATAATAAATCAAAAATATGTTAAACCTTTTTGATGTTTTTAGATTTAATTTTTTTATACTTTCTTTATTATTCAATTTCCTAAAAACCCACTAAATCCTCATTGGAACAAAAACAGAGCAGATATTTTTTATGGGTATGAATTTTATATGAAACAAACAGAAACATAATAAAACAAAGTAGAATGGGTGTGTTCCACCTCCATCACATAAAACTAGGTGGAACAATTTTTCAAAAACATAGAATACGTTTTTCTTTTTATATTTTATTCACTCGTTAGGTTTTATTTATCGTATTTTATACTCTTTAAACTTTTAATTTATTGTCTTCAAGATTATATTTTTTATTTGGTTTTTATATTTTCAATAATTTATGTAATTTACTGAATATTAATAATAAATGTAAGTAATTTACTAGATATTGTTAGTAAAGGTAAGTAATTTACTAAGGAACCGTTTACCCAATTGCTTACCCGGTAAGCTCTTACCGATATGAGTCAATACTATGATTTATTTTGATACGTAAGATTTTAGTATATTACAAATATCGAATGCAACAATTTAGTGGGTAAGCGCTTACCTGGGTAAGAATCGTCATCCTCACTTACCGGGTAAGACTTTCCATCATTTTCATCGCTTTTACCCGGTAAGATTCATGACCCTTCTCATGTTCATTCGATGAGAAAATTTATCCGGTAAGTACTTACCAAGTAAGTGTTTAGTAAACGATCCTTAAAATATTAATAATAAAGGTAATATAAAAAAGGTATAAAATAACAATTGAAAACTATATAAACTTTTTACTTTGGTGTCATTTTAATGATCTTAACAAACTCTTTCTAATAAGATATTATGTTATAAAAATATTTATTTTATTATAATTTAATAAATTACATAAGTTAATCAAAAATATATAAAAAAACTCATTAAGAATAAATTCATCATTTTATCTGTGTTGTCTCCTACAATTCAGTTATATTTTACCAAACACTGAATAAACTATTCTATTTTACCAAACACTGAATAAACTATTCTATTTCAAGATAAATTCATCATTTTATCTGTTCTATCTCGTATAGTTCAATTTTATTCTACTAAACATTAAATAAGTACTCTGTTCTGTCATATTTTGTCAAACGTATCCTTATTGCTACCAGCGATGTAACAAAAAAGTTGGCTTGCTAAGTCACCAAGCTACCAAAGCCCATATCAACTAAATGGCCTCAATTGGGCTTCATTTCAGATTTTAGAAACCAAATTAATATAAGTAATCTTTTGACAATCAATAGTAATTTGGTTCAAGGGGGTGTTTAGGATTGCTTATTTTAGGTGTTTTTTGACTTATTTTAGTCTGTCATCGTCATCGGTAATAAGCTAAATGTTAGTATTTAGATGAGGAAAAATAAACTTGCTTATACCGGTGCCAAACCGGTAATAAGCAGCTTTTGATAAGTTAATCCTTCATAATTTATGGAAAAACTGCTTATTACCAGTTTACTATTTTAACTCTGTTTTATTAATGTTTGTTAATTATTAATCTTATTAATATAAATTTTTGTCAATAATATGGAAAACTATCTTTTTTGGTCATTTTACATATATAAGCAAAATTTGCCAAACACTAAAAAATAACTTATCAGCTTATTGTTTTTTGGTACCGTTATAAGTTAATCCCCACGTAAGTTAATAAATACTTTTACAAAAAAACATAAGTTGTTTTAAATAAGCAACCCCAAACACCCCCTAAATTGGAAATCTATCCCACAACGCAAACAATATAAACACTAATTTTGGTCGACAACATGAAACCAAACCAAAATGATTGAAAGCCATCATGGCCTAAATTCGTTTCGTTATCTCGACAACTTCTATTATCGGTAGGTTCGCTTAATATTTGAACGATTCCGATATTCACATTCCTACGATACGATATCGGAATACATATTTCTACCGATCGATGGCTCAATGAATCGATCTTTGTTGGATGTCACCTCCCCATTGTTTGATTCGGTGTCCCACAATGTTCACCTGCATTTCAAACATACCAAAAGCTTGTTCATTTCTACGGTTATGACATTTTCGTCAGGGGTGAGATAAAACGAATATTAACCTAAAAAGTAAAGATTAGCCGAGAGAGAAATTAAGCTTTGTTTTTACCTCTTCGTTCCAGTTCGTTCGAGAAACCATGATAAGTAATAGGCAACATTGCATGGTTGCTCCCGAAACCATTCCGTACCATATTCCCTGTACGTACATAAAGTTAAAGATTTTGTACGACCAATATCATTTCATTTGGACTAATTTTGAGCATCTATGGTCGTAAACAAGATGTAACCTTGACACCCATATCTAATCTGAATCCCATCAAAAGACTCATCGGAATGCCAAAAAAGAAATACGACCCGACGTTCATATAAGCAACTGCCGTCTGCCACCCTGCTCCGATGGCCACCCCTGTAACAATTACCACAAATCAACATCTAATCGACTTAAATCGTCATTCATGACACACGCTAGAAATAAGAAATTTGTCATTAACAGTGATTTGCAATTCCCTACCAAAAATGCAGATAATATAATAGAGCCGAGTTCATATGAGAACCACAAATATTTTGAGAATCAAAGAACTAAATTTTTAGTGAATACATATACAAGCAAATATATTTATCAATGGATATATAATATATATATTTATTGATAATAATACTTATCATCAATATGCATATATTGATGAAATGTATATAGTGTATATTCATCAATTGAATATACACCGTAAAATTAGCTTATTGGTTCTTAAATTATTTGCGGTTCTTAGCATCAACCATCCCTTAATATAATAATATATAACTTGTTCATAAAATTAATGTATGGTGTGATATGGTTTGAACTACGATTTTGTAATTCGAAACCGCGTTGTGCTGTTTGATAATCAAAACAAACCACTATTAATACTAAAATTGGGTTTATATGACATCCCCAATCTCTAAGTTTCCCAATAGATCGCTTTATAAGACTTAATTTATAGGACCAAAATATAAAGCGTTCTATCTAAAGGTGTTGTAATAAGTTTATACGACACTTTTGAGTGTCTTAACAAATTTTTAAGGACATTTTTAATAGAAAGTGTCGCGTTAGCAACTTTATATGACACTTTTGAGAAATTGTCCTACAAACTCAATTTTTTATAGGACACTTGTTTTTATAGGACATTTTTTCAAATATTGTCCTATAAAGTTGATAATGGGACGCTTTATATTAAAAGTGTCCTAAACAACTTATTACGACATCAAAAAACGTCATATAAACTTAATACAACACCATTAGATATGACACTTTATTTTTTGGTCCTTGTCTATTAGGACGCTTACAACTTGAAAGTGCATGCGAAAAGTACAAACCAAAACCGCACCGCAAAAGTTCTTAACCGCACAGTTTTTAATGCGATGCAGACGGTTTAAGCAGTTTATGCCATTTGATGTGCACCCCTAATACCTGAAAGAGCATACTGAAGGCAATAGACGATAATACTGATTCCGAGCAACAACGTGAGTTCTTCTAAGAGTTGCATTACTTCTCGACTGTTTGTAAACAACGCCGGGTATTGTTTTCTGTACACTAGAAGAACCGCCGTGAAGAGGAGTCCAATTAGAACTGAAGTCAATCCCACGACTATAACCGCGAACCTCGCAGTTTTCGGCCTTCTGTAACCGAGTTCGTTCGACACCCTTACACTAAGTAAACATAATTACGACGATTTGATATGTTAGAAACTTCGTTTCTGAACCAAAGCTTACGAACGATCTTTCGAATCGGGGTTAGATGCAAACCTTACGGCAACGTTGAGTCCTAAAGCAACTGTACAAATCCATCCTAATATGTTGAGGCTGCAATGAAAGATACACCGTTAGATGTGAGTTAATATGAAAGAGACAGACAGTGAGATTACAAAATTAATATGAGAGACAGACATATTGAGATTAGAAAGAAATGTAAAAAATGTACAGAAATAATAAGACCATTAAAAGCAAACAACACCACAAATAGGTGCTGATGGTAACGTGATAAAGAGCACCTACTGGCTACTGATGTTTCAACTGCTATGAACCATGACTATGTAACGAGAGGCGTATAGTAGATATCGAACACTCACCACACCGATAAAGCGTCGACAGAGGCTTCTGCATTCTCGAAGTACCCGGCAAAGAGAACCAACGACATCAGGTACCAATTCTCCAAGCTGCAAAATGTCGATGAGTTATACAGTACAACCATTACTTCATTAAGTCAAATAGAAGTAATCAAACAGACCCAATAAAAATTGTTCGATGGAATCTTACCAAAACATTACGGCTGTGGCGAACGAAACACGAACAAATCCCTTGAGATTATGAAAAGCTTCCCACGAAAAACCACCCCAAGCTTGACCACACGACCCCCACAAAACGTATGTGAGCTGAGCCACGGTCATGAACCACCATGAGCAATCAAGAACCACCGCCGCACCCACTAGACCCCACCCGAGTTTCATCATCAAAAGCCAACTCAAAAACACATGGCTAACGACTGCCACCAGAGCAATCCATGCCATTGGCATGATGTTGCTTTGTGCTTGTAAGAATTTGGCTATTGGGATCAGGGTGGCGTAAGCAAATAGTTGTGGTATCATCCAAACGGAAAACCTTCCTGCCGCCGTGGCTATACTTGGTGTCTGGCGGAGGAGACGAAGGACGGAGACGCCAAATATGTAGGTGAACATTAGAATTACGGCGATGGTGTTGAGAACCACCCAAGATCTTTGCAGGTATACTCCGAGCATTTCAAACTTTCCGGCACCGTAAGCTTGGCCACATAGTGTCTCTAAAGCACTTCCCATTCCAAACTATATATATAATTATAAAAAAGAGGGATAAAATATAACGAAATTGGTTGTTTTTTGTATTATATATATATATATATATATGTGTGTATATATATAAAGGGTTTTGGAAGATGAATCCAAAAAGCTATGAATTTTGCATGTGGTGATATATAACGGGAAATATATATACATATATATACCAAGATGGAGAAAGAGAAGCCGCCAATGACAGAGTTCTCGACAGAGACGGCGGCGAGTTGCATGGTACCGAGTTGTCCGGCGAAGAGTTGGGTGGTGGCGCCGACGGTGTACTGGCAAATGGAGGTGAAGATGGCCGGTCCTGCCAAATACCACAGCTTTTTAGACTCCACATAGAACTCCCTACAAAAATCTTTAACTCCATTAATTTCCACACCCCTGTCTTCTGCTTCAACATTCTCAGGCGCCGCCGGGAACTGTTTCAGATTTGTGTAGTTATTCCGACCGTTGTCGCCGGCGAGAAGTGGCTGCTGCTGCTTCACGTTCTCCATGATGAATTTTAGGCCAAAATGCACGGATTCAACTAGTTTATAGTCTCGTAGTTTGGGGATCAAAGATTTTGTATATAAATTATGCAAATATTTATGATAATTAATATGATTATAAACAGTAAAATATAAATATAATAAGACGTGTACCAACCTTGTCAAATATTTTACCTTTTTTTCCATAAATTCATGATGACATTACACTTCTAATGGTGGCCACGTAGTTAATTTACTTTGGGAACAGATGTAGAGCCTTGACTGTAATTAAAGTACGTGAAACTGTGATTGTTTTCAAAATAAGGGACTGATTTAGGATCAAATGATTAATGAAGGTGAAAATTTGCATATAAGGATATAGTTGAGGGATGATTTTTGTAATTAATTTGAAAAGGAGATTGGAAATTGAATTCCGGAAAAGAGTGGGAAGGGATCCACCTGGACGGCTTTAGGATGTCACGCATTGTTGCTGTTCTATTTATGGATTATTCGCTTTCACATTGAATAATAGTGGAATTTAATTAAATAATTATTTTATAAAATAATTTTCCCTTTTTAGTCATATTAAAAAGCTTTTTACTGAAATAGGCAAAGTTTTTATAAAAATAATTTAAATTAAAACTTTTTAAAAAAAATGGAGGAGTTTACGCAAAAAAAAAAATTCTTTATATAATTATTATTTAATATTTTTTTTTTAAATATTTTAAAATCTGAAGTCTTACTTTAACTTTAATAAATAAATAAAACTGTTTATTTTTATAACTAATTAGAAAGGTACTCGTACAATGCATCGAAACATATTTTCATTTCAATATTTCGTTTTATTTTTTTATTCATGTTGATATAATACGATTTTATATGATTTTGGAAAATGATAATATTTTTATTTTTGAATAAAATATAAATTTGAAAATATCATATAAAATTTGTAAAAAATATCAATATTAGTATCAAATTAACTATTTAAAAGATCTTGTTTGTTTAATTTTTTTAATTCAAAATTTTTATTATAATTTAGTTTAATGTAACGAAGTAACTTGATTTAGATTTAATAATATATTTTTTTATAAAGATAATAATTAAGTATTCTGATAGAACTCAATAATTATCTTAATTATATTTTATATTTTTTTATATTTTAAAATGAGATGTTTATCTTCTATTTAATTATGTTTATCTGCAGTTAGTTACACGAATTCAAACATAGAGCTTTAATAAGTTGTATTTATGCACAATTTACTTGTAATCTTGAATTTTAAGTAATATGCATCGATAAACAATATTTTATACATAAAAAATGATTTTTAAAAGTATTTGTCAAATGCTTTATAATATAGTATAGATAAATATTTAAATATATATAATTAATATTTTTTCTTGGATACATTATGTTAATCTATTTATTTGTTTGATAATTGTTTTTGTTTTATTTAAAAAAGTTTAATTTATAAATATTTATCAAATTTATGTCTTGGTTTTATGAAAAATCGTTGAACTTTACTTTGTTTTTGGAAGTTCTTTTTTCAAAGCAAAAGTTGCTTTTTTTTAAGGCCATCACCTCCACCACTCGCCACCGTTATTCTCCTTCAAACTATTGGGTTGTGATCTGCATTCCGACCGTCCTTCTTATCTGTGTCAATCAGACATTGATTTTTCACTTGTTATGACATTTTTATGTATTGATACCGAAAAAGAAAAGCCCAAACAATCTAAAACCTCTGACCTCTTGTTCGTTAAGAGATAAGAAGAGGTTTTTTTTTTCATGAAAGTAAGAGTGAATTACTCTTTTGCTCCCCATGGTTGCCACTTGCCACCCACCAACAACTCTCAAGTTTCGTCTCTCTTTTAGATTAATTACAGTTTTGGTCACTATGGTTGTCATTTTATTTCAATTTTGGTTCTTTTAACTAACGACCGTTAATTAGTTTGGATCAGTTAAGTCCTCTCATGAGTAGCACGTGAGGGTATTTTCACCCTTTAAGCAAATTTTGTTTTATTCTTTTTTTTAATAAATAATTTCCAATTTACACATAATTAAAGCATATTACAGCAAAGTAATGCACAATGCACGACTACCTTCTACTACCACTACCACCACCATCTTCTTTGACGAAGTGTCCCCTTCCGATCATCTTTTCTGGCCAACCCATCCCTTCCGATCATCTTCTTTGACGGACCAAAACCCAAAAATCCATCAAAAAATAAAAATCCTCACAAACCAAAATATCATTAATATAACCGATGAGGATAAATCTAAAATAGGGATGTTTATTCAAACCACTAAATAGCCCACGCTATACGAGTACACGACACCACAAAGCGTGATTTAAAACATCCGTGGTGCGGTTTGCAATTTGCATTTTTACCAAATAGCACTATGCGTTGCGGTTTTGAGTAATCAAACCATGGTTCAAATCGCATTACACAGTATATTTTATATATATTTTAATTTTATATAGCCGCTTCCAATTTAGTTTGAAGTTTTTTTGCTTCTTAAACTATTTTTAATTATGCAATATGTATTTGGGAATCAGATTTATTGAAACTATTTATTTTTTTGAACTAGAGTCACGTTATCGTTAATATTATAATGTATTTTCAAACTTATAATTATTGGATTGTGGACATAAATTGCGATAAGTACAAACCGCATAAACCACATTGCACCTCACAAACACTGCATTTTGCAGTTTTTTGCGGTTTGAGGTTTATGCGTTGCGGTTTGTGGTTTTGGAAAATGCACAAATCACATATACGATGAGGTTTACGTTTTGGCCCTAAACCGCACCGCAAACACCCCTAATCTAAACACAATCAACAAGCAAATCAAAACGGCATCAGAATGAACTCAAAATTGGTGTTGAATAAAATATGAGATCCAGACAAAGAACTCGTGCACAAATCGAAAAAAACCAAAAACCAAAATAAAACCCAATCTAAACACAAACCCAAATGAAAATGAACTTGTCGGTCTCACTATAAATGGGAAACAATCTAAAAAAGAACCAAAACTAAAACGAAAACCAAAACAGCACCCATATGAAAATAACTCATGAACTCAGCGGTTCTCAATGCAAATCGAAACCAAAACCCAAGTGAAAAATGTTAATCTTTGTTGAAATTGAAATAGCCTCAAACTAAAATTGTCGACAGAGTGGGAGGGGACTTCTCGTTCGTCATCGTTGCAGCAGGGGGAGGGGTCGCTACTCTCATGTTCGTGGACGGAAGCAAATTAGTGTTTTGTGATCATCTACGAAACAGATCCATTGGGTGAAGCATATGAGTGTTCCTCGTTGGAGATAGATCCTCAAAATCGGTGAAATTATTGGATGGAGGTGTTCTCGAACCAGATATGAGAGAGTTGGGGAGTTATATCGGGGTTTCTACCATAGAGAAAGAGGTGGCGACAGGAACGAGAAAGGGGTCTTGGACTTCTGTTAGAGTTTCCATCGAAAAGGAAAATCAGGCATCAGATTTAAGGGATTGCCAAAATGATGGTTTATTATGCGATTCGAACCATTGTTACAACCATTGCAACTTAATCTCAACCGTCTATTTAATCTAGTGAATACATGCTTCCATAAATATCTTAATTTTTTTATAATATAAAACGTTGATCATAATTAATAAACACTAATAATCTTCGATAAATATCTAGATCATAATAAATGAACTATCATTAACTCATTGAATTATATGGTTTGTAACAAATGCATAGTTTGTACTTAAACATAAACTCTATGTGCGTGCATATATATTCATATTGTGTATTATATAATACTAAATAATAATAATTATAATTTACAATATAATATAATAATAATTTATTTATTTAATTTTTAAATTGAAAACTAAATAAATCATAAAGAGATGAAAAACCCCTATGGCCCTATGAGTTAACAGAACTATTTAACTATTTTGGTTTCAAAAATAAAAAAAGAAACAAAATAATCTTCCTATCTACATTTTCTACACCCCTACCTATATAATACAATAAAATAATTAAAATTTATTTATTTTATTTTTCAATTTTAACCCTTTAATATTTTTAGTTTTCACCCTTCAATTTTTTAAATACTTTTCTATTATAYCCYYTAGGTTTTTTATCTATACTATAATTACATATATTAATTAACTATATATTATTATTAATTAAGTATTAAGGATACATATTTTTTTAATAATTATATAAATTAATTAACTTTATATTATTACCAATTAATAAAATATTAAAAATATGTAATTTTTAAATTATATATTTGTATATGAATTTTTTTCAATATTTATACTTTATATCTTTATAAAAATTTATTATATTTATTTACTTTTTTATTTTTATTTTATACCCTTATGATATTTATATAATTACAGTTCCATAATTAAATAAAACAATGTTCAATATTTGGTTCATTTTGAAGTTATTGACGAGACGATTACGATGATGTAACTTATTAAAATCTAAACATATTTTTAATAGGAATGGCAACGGGCCGCGTTCGGGCCAAGTATTGGTATCCTTGTCCCCGAAACCTATAGCTAAAACCGTTCCCGTAACCGTCCCGAATCCCCGTCAGGGATCTTATCGGGGATCCCCACGGTTTCCCCGATCCCCGTTGGGGAACCCATTAAGGGCAAAAATTCTCTTTTTCACCGTTGGTTATAACCGAACCCGAGCCCGAAAACAATATGGAAAAAATTACAATGTGTTAATATATATATATATATATATATACATATCGGGGAAACCCCGAATTCGTCCCCGATCCTCGCCCCGTCCCCGTTAAAATCCCCCGATCCCCGCCCCGTTATTGAAAATTCGATTATAATAATATAATTAAATCCAATAATATTCATTATTATGTTCATTTCAAAGAGATTGACGAAACGATTTTAATGGTGCAATTTGTTAAAATAAAAAGTATATTAAAWAATGAGTATGTAAGATGAACAAGATGAATAAAGGGTACGAAAATGCTTCCTAAGATGTTAATTTCATTGTTAGATCT